TGGAGGAGAAACAGTTTTTTAAAAAGTCGCGATCATGTGGTACGGAAGAGTATTAGGGCCACTGCATAAAATTTTTGGCCCTAATACTCTTCCGTAATGTGGTGACCTAAATCAATGAAAAGTTTGATTTTTCAAATTTCTGAAGAAAAAAAAACATATTACTATACGATAAATAAATAAATAAATACTCCCTATATTATAAATAAATCCAGAGATCTACCTGGGGCCCTCTACTAAAAATATGAGCACACCAGAGGCGCTTCAGCAGCTTCCTCTGATCCTAAATGTGGATGTGCAACACACTTTAGTGACCTACTTCTGTTGTTGACTAGTAACAACAGTAATACTTTCTCAGTCAGCTGTATTATAAATTATATTATATAAGAAATTGAGATGACAAAAAATAAATGAAGTCACACCCACAAATTAGCTGTCATCTTCCTTAACAATAACAGAGGGTTTTCCGACCGCAGCATACTCCGCTTGCCGGTTGCAGCTCCCGGCATCTGCAGCACAGTATCAGGTGCGGCTCCATCATTGGCTACTACAGGCTTCAGGGGAGGAGTTTCACACCCCCTGGCTACACAGTAACGCTTGGTACTTAAAAAAAAACACTAGTCCGTCCGTCATCGCACTGCTAGCCTAGAAAAATATGATCCCGAGAAGAGCAGCTCCTGCGCTTCAACACTTAGGACAATTTAACTGCAACTAATTTTAGTTGAAATCACACAACGTCGCTGAGTTTGGTTCTTACATTTTCCCTGTCTTTTTCTGCGCTGGACCATTCGTGTCAGAAAATGTGCGTGGAGAGCGATGGATGCGAGATTGAAGGCTGCAGCAGTTCGGATGAGGTGCGCACGCTGTCGGGAAGCATGAGCCCCGGACTGAAATCCAGCCCGGACCTCCACCCGTGTAAACCGGGGCAGAAATTCCGCGCTGCTCTGCTTAGATGCCGTTCACCGGCCGCTGCCGCCGGGATCCTCACCTTTGGGAACGTCCTCAATTACATGGATAGATCCACTGTAGCCGGTAAGACACCTGACATCTCTCTTTCTGTTATTCTACAATGATTTTATTTATTTGAGGGACTACAGAAAAGAAGCGTGTGCGCCTTTCTTTATTTGCTGGAGTAACTGTACCTGCTATAACTGCCTGTGAGCTGTTTCAGTCTGCTCACCTCAGCTGAGACGGGCGGAACAATGGGCTTGCCCAAGCGCAATGGACAATCTGAGAAAACGGTGTTTTCATGGTTGTATCCTCTGTCTGCTGTGATTACATCAAGCAAATAACCTATGTGTCTTCAGTATCACCCATGAAAATGTTTGACAGTAATGATTTTTACTCGGAGCTGACAGATAATTGCAGGTCGATCAATTAGGGCGATCAGTTCTCCATCCACTAACCTGAGTACATGATGTAAAATGTCGCTGTGAGCTCGTCTGTCAGATCAGACCCAGCGAATTGAAAGAAAGAGAGAGAAAGAGAGACTGTGTGTGTGTGTGTGTGTGTGTGTGTGTGTGTATCCCTGGGAAAAATCAGTCAGTTCTTCGTCGTTTCTGGGCGCAATGTAGTCCAACATCTAATAGCCTGTATTTTGTGCAGCAGCTCGCTGAGTGATGCTGTGACGAGGCCATGTGGTGTTAATCCTCCTCAAGTCCTCGCATTTGCTCACTGTAGAGACCCAGAGTGTGGTTTCTTAAGAATGACTACAGTGCGCAGATGGACCTGTAGCCTTAAAATGTGAAAAGTGCCTTATTCAGCCTAGTTATAGATTTTATAAATTAATGAATTGACTGTGGCAAGAATATACTGTGATTATAGATAAATGGTAGCTTTGAGAGGTCTGTTTATGTAGCTATTCTCAGGCAGAATGTTTGTAGTCTCATAGAAGGTCCTTTAGCAGATTTTGATTCAGTTTAGTTGATTATTATAGATTCCTTGGAGAGTAAGAACTGTGTAACCAGTTCTTAAAATCATTAGCCCTCTGCACAAATAAAAGATTGTTCAATTAGATCTGGTTGGCATTTTATCCATATCCTAGTTTTTATTTTGTTTAGTTAGTCACTTTTATTTTGTGTTTGGGCTACTCATCAAGGCTTGGCCATTGGACTGTGGCACTGAATGTGTTAAAAAATACTGCAGCACCAAGGAGAACGGAGGGAAGGGTGCTCATGGCGAGAGCAGGAGCTTCTGTAAAACACACTTTCAGATTGCAAGTCTGTGTTGATACTGATATCACCATTACTCAACAGATGGCTACTTCAAAATCTTACTTGTTATTGTATCTTATTATTTATTCACCTATTATTTGCTACATTTTTTATTATTTGGTTTACATAGTTCAAAAATTGATAAACTGGAGGTCTAATGGCTTAATTTCCACTGTGTAGTTCCTGACAGAAAGGAGTGGCTTGTTCACTCAGAACAATGTGTATGCTTAAGTAGCCGCATGCCTATGGCTTGTCTTCCTGAAGGCTCCAGGTCCAGTTTGTCATGCCACAAAGCCTCTGGCTTTTCACTGATCATTACAGCAGGAAGTCCTTAGCTGCCTCGCCAAGAATGTGTTGATGTACAGTGGGATATATGCATTATATATATATAGCTTCAAGTACCACTCAGTCACAGCATATTGTTTGAAAAGGCACGGTCTCGTGGATGAGTCACTGTCCCTCTACAGTAGCGATTTGTACTTCTGTCTCCCTACACCTCCTCCTGTTTTGATCTGAGGAAACTCCTCATTAAGGGGCTCAAAACAACACCATTCTCCTCTGTTCTCTCCATCATGGTCTTCCCTCTATACTGCCTCTGCGCTTTACAATATCAAATGAACAGCGAAGGAGAAAATTCTCTACAAAGCTTTGGACCTCCCAGCTGTGTTTGCTGTGCCATGTCAAGTGACTGAAAGAGATGAGGAGAAAGAGGAAATAGGGAGGAGGAGGAAGGGGGTGGGTGTTCCAGCAGCCTGGGCTAACGCTCATGGGGACTCTGTGCTTGTAGTGCAGAGGGGGTCCTTTCCCCATCTTGCCACCTGAACACTGCTGGACTGTCTTGCATTATGCATGGGCAGTAAGTGCCAGACTGTCACACAGAAGGACCAGCAACCATGCAGCACACTTAACACATACAGTATGAACTGATCAGCCTCCTGCTTCCAGCTCCTTCTATCTCTGGTTGAGCCTTTCTCTCCTCTCCCTCTGTATTGCAGTAATTAGATGGTGGAAGCAGCATATCTGTATTGGGAGCACAGAGAGTTTGCTCTAAGTGCATATGTATGTGTGTTTGGAGGTGGGGGGTATAATGTAGATGGATTATATATCAATATAACATAAATACAATGCTGTTTGATTACATAGCATGGGCTTAATCCTACCTTGAGATCATTGTCTCTTCTTGCTGCTGTTCTCTCTGCTTTCCACTTCTGCTACTTTCTGTTTCTCATTCAAAACCCTTAAGTAGCAGGTACTCAGACACGTCTCAATGTCAATTACACAAGGATGAGTGCACATCCACAGACAGCACACACACACATTGGAAAAGACTACCTACCATTTCAAGAGGGGCTGAATGAGAGAGGGGAGTTGTGAAGGGAGGGGGTGGCTACTGCGGTGGCAGGCGGTCGGAGGGAAGTGGATGCAGAACGCAGGCAGCGTTGAGCCAGAGTGATGCCTTTTCCCCGATGTCAAAAGATCTTTGTACCAAGAACCATTACTGTAATGTGTGTGGATCACTAAAGCATTGTCACGGAGACAGAGGGTGACCATTCCAGACACCGGGGCTATTCTGCTTCACAACAATGATGGGAAAATTGCACCCAGCAGTGCACAGCAGCAGTGTCAAAGACTTTCTGTTAATCTCTTGTGCGACAGGTGAAGCCACACACAAAACAACGGCATGTGCAAACTACAGTTTTTGATTACCATCACTTGCCGAAGATGATGTAAGAACCACAAAATAGGGGAAAAGTCATTGCCTTTTTTTTCTTAAAGGAAGTTGTTTTGTTTAGAGTTTAACAGATTTACTGCCAATTTGTTTTTATTACAAATACGTATATAATATTGCCACTTTGTGAGGAGGAAGAGCTTCAAACAAAGTAATTACGTGAGTGTTAGGTCTTTTTAGTCAGATAGAAACTGGATAGATACTTTATGTATTAGAAATGTTTAGTGGAGATAGGATGTCTAGTTAGACTGTTAAATGCTTAGTCATGCTTATGAGTTTCTACAGGGTACATCTGGTCAAGGATACTAGAGAGAAGAGTTGATGACTGTCAGCAGACAGGGTGTTTAATATTATTATTATGACGTGTATAACTGTAGCCTTAGCCATAATATGTTCTTATGTTTAAGTCACGACATGTTACTAGAAGTCTGTGAGAATGTTTTTAGCTACACACCACTTAACCAACAGACACACACACATTGATTTGCTTCATGTTTTGACTACTGCTATGACCAGCTGCAAAGCTGGTAACAGAGACGTCTCGGTTGACGTTTCTGTGTAGTATGGGGCTAGCCCAACCGAAGGGATATAATGTATAGGCCTGGTGGGTTCAGGGTCTTTCATCTTACATCTGCCTGCGAGCAGTTTGGAGGTGCAAGATACCTGAGCGTGTAATGTTAATTTTACCTGTGATCCTTTGAATAAATCAGCACTGTTTGAAGTTACTTGGACTGTCTCGTCTCTCAGAGTTAGCAATGGTAAGACGAACCGAAGACCTACAGTGAGACTTAAGTTGCTGCATAATGGAAGGCCCATTTTAAAATTTAGAAAGAGTGAAAAACAAATGCAATATTGGTTCATCTGAAACACAAAGCAAAAAGTAAACAAAATGTAATTAAACATACATTATTGCAGATTTATGACAGTGAGTTACTTTTCACACTAAGAATAAATGTTGCTGTACTGCATGCAAATGAATACCTGAACTTTTCAACATTTCCATCCCTTAAACTGCTCTTTCCATCCCTTTTAGAATCAACTTTCAATACCAGTTTCACTGTGTACTGTGTGTTCAAGCAGAGACCATCACAGGGTTGCAAGCAGTTCAAATTGCTGCATTTTCCGGACCATCACAAGCAAGCAGTTCAAATTGCTGCATTTTCCATATTTCTTTGTTGTGGGGTTAGCAAACCGACAATGAACTGGTTTTTGTCAGACACACTTATAGGCCAAATCCAAGTGTGACCAGGCACAGAGGAGACCACTATTAAATTTCAGGAGGGTGTGAATGGCAGCAGTCAGCGATGCGCTCTGTGTAGTGATTCAAGGCTCAGCTATTCAGACAGTAGGTAAGACCTAACACAGAGTGCTCCTCCAGAAGCTTGTTTTTATGGCTGTGTGATGTAGAGGAGACAGAAATGAGGAGCATCTGGGACACTGTTGGGTGTCCTAATGAAACTGATCAGTCAGTTAGTTATTGTACTGCATTGCAGAATAGCAGTATGCAGTAGAATGGAGCACCGGCATTTCAAGATTGGAGTGGAGGGCTATGCATCTGGATGAGCTAATGTATGATGGCTCACTTGTGTCTAACCTTTGGCAGCAGCTATTTAACCCATAGCTACAGATATTCATTTTTATTTTAGTGCATATACTGTAGGAGCTTTAGAGGACCATTGCATTTTAATTTAATTTGAGGTGGCTTTGAAACCTTAAATCTTGGTGTTGGTGTCCCTGCAGTCCCACAGCAAGCAGACCAAGTTCCTTGACATCTTATCATAAAGAGGGGATTAAACGTTTTTTCAGAGAATATGAGGCTATGTGAGGCAGACACTCAACACTTAAAGTTATTTGCTTGGTAAGTAAATAATCCCTGATCTACATTAGCTCTAGCCACCCCCCTGTGTGCACCCTAGTCACCCCCTTCTCAGCCAGTAAAGGACCAATTTGTGGGGTGGGTGACTGAATCTGTGTTGAACAGAAATGTTGGGGAGCTTCAGATTAACACTTCTACCAGGCATCTTACACTGAGTTGTCCAAGTCAAGCTATCATTCCTGAAATACCCCCAAAACAGGATTACATGCAGATG